TACTGTAAAGTACTTTTTCCACAATAATTTAAAGTACTTTTTCTACAGTACTGTGAAGTACTTTTTCTACAATACTGTAAAGTACTTTTCCACAATAATTTGAAGTACTTTTTCTACAATACTTTGAAGTACTTTTTCTACAATACTGTGAAGTACTTTTTTCCAATATTGTAAAGTACTTTTTCTACAGTACTGTGAAGTACTTTTTCTACAATACTGTAAAGTATTTTTTCATCGATAATGTGAAATACTTTTTTACAAAACTGTAAAGTACTTTTTCTACAATACTGTAAAGTACTTTTTCTACGATGATGTGAAGTATTTTTTCTACAATACTGTTAAGTACTTTTTCTACAATGCTATAAAGTACTTTTCTACAATACTATAAAGTACTTTTTCTTCGATAATGTGAAGTACTTTTTCTACAATACTATAAAGTACTTTTCTACAATACTATAAAGTACTTTTCTACAATACTATAAAGTACTTTTTCTTCGATAATGTGAAGTACTTTTTTTACCCTACTGTAAAGTACTTTTTTCTACAGTACTGTGAAGTACTTTTTCCACAATAATTTGAAGTACTTTTTTTACAGTACTGTGAAGTACTTTTTCCACAATAATTTAAAGTACTTGTTCTACAATAATGTAAAGTACTTGTTCTACAATACTGTAAAGTACGTTTTCTACAATAATTTGAATTACTTTTTTTACGTTACTGTGAAGTAATTTTTCTGCAGTACTGCAAAGTAGTTTTTCTACAATAATGTAAAGTACTTTTTCTACAATAATATAAGGTACTTGTTCTACAATACTGTAAAGTACGTTTTCTACAATAATTTGAATTACTTTTTCTACGTTACTGTGAAGTACTTTTTCTACAATACTGTGAAGTACTTTTTTACAATACTGTAAAATACTTTTCTACAATACTGGAAAGTACGTTTTCCACAATAATTTGAAGTACTTTTTCTACAGTACTGTGAAGTACTTTTTCTACAATATTGTGAAGTACTTTTTTTACAATACTGTAAAGCACTTTTTCTACAGTACTGTGAAGTACTTTTTCTACAATATTGTGAAGTACTTTTTTACAATACTGTAAAGTACTTTTTCTACAATACTCTGAAGTACTTTTTTACAATACTGTAAAGTACTTTTTTTACAATACTGTAAAGTACTTTTTCTTCAATACTGCGAAGTACTTTTTCAACGATAATGTGAAGTACTTTTTCTACAGTACTGTGAAGTATTTTTTTACAATACTGTAAAGTACTTTTTCTACTATAAAGTGGAGTACTTTTTCTACAGTACTGTGAAGTATTTTTACAATACTGTAAAGTACTTTTTCTACTATAAAGTGGAGTACTTTTTCTACGATAAAGTGGAGTACTTTTTCTACGATAAAGTGGAGTACTTTTTCTACAGTACTGTGAAGTACTTTTACAATACTGTAAAGTATTTTTTCCACAATGATTTGAAGTACTTTTTCTACAGTACTGTGAAGTACATTTTCTACAAAAATTACTTACAGTATTGTAAAAGTACTTCACAGTACTGTAGAAAAAGTATTTCAAATTATTGTGGAAAAATTACTTTACAGTATTGTAAAAAAGTGCTTCACATTATCAATACAGTACTGTGAACTGCTTTTCTACGATAATTTGAAGTACTTTTTCTACAATACTGTGAAGTAATTTTTCTACAATACTGTGAAGTACTTTTTTACAATACTGTGAAGTACTTTTTTATAATACTGTAAAGCACCTTGTCTACAGTACTGTGAAGTACTTTTTCATAATACTATAAAGTACGTTTTCTTCAGTACTGTGAAGTACTTTTTCTACAATAAATTGTAAAAAAAGTACTTCACAAACTGTAAAGTACTTTTTCTACAATACTGTAAAGTACTTTTCTACAATACTGTGAAGTACTTTTTTATAATAGTATAAAGTACTTTTCTACAGTACTTTGAAGTACTTTTTCTACAATACTGTGAAGTAGTTTTTTACACTACTGTAAAGTACTTTTCTACACTACTGTAAAGTACTTTTTCTACGATAATGTGAAGTACTTTTTTACAATACTGTAAAGTACTTTTTACCATACTGCGAAGTACTTTTGTACGATAATGTGAAGTACTTTTTCTACGATAATGTGAAGTACTTTTTTACAATACTGTAAAGTACTTTTTACCATACTGCGAAGTACTTTTTGTACGATAATGTGAAGTACATTTTCTACAGTACTGTGAAGTACTTTTTCTACAATATTGTGAAGTACTTTTTTTACAATACTGTAAAGTACTTTTTCCACAATGATTTGAAGTACTTTTTCTTCAATACTGCGAAGTACTTTTTCAACGATAATATGAAGCATTTTTTTACAATACTGTAAAGTACTTTTTCTACGATAAAGTGTAGTACTTTTTCTACAGTACTGTGAAGTACTTTTTACAATACTGTAAAGTACTTTTTCCACAATGATTTGAAGTACTTTTT